TGTGCTGTTCTCTTTTGGACGTTGCTTGAGAGCATGCCGGCAATTTCAGTCTTCACTCGTTTGGTGTAAGCGTGGGCCGGGTCAACCGGGTGGCCTGTTTGGCAATCGAAGACCTCCAGTTTAGCTGGCTGCTGGTGGTGTTGAACAGTTGTGCCTCAAGGTCTCTACCAACTGATTTAGAATGCTTTCCAAAATGGTCATCAGTTCTGTAACTGCCAGTGAACTTGTAAGTAACATGTGTGGCAGAATGATCTAGGACATATTTTGATTCGAAATCAGGCACACCTGAGCTGTGTGGTTTAAAACGGATTGATATTTCTGCTTGGTGTTGCATGAGATGTGAGTATCCTTAGATTGTCGACGCACCAACTGCTACCTAGCTGTGCCGGCCAGATTAGGTGTCCTGCGTGCGAACTGTTCTAGGTAATCGCTGATCAACAAAGTCCTCTCCAGAAGATCTTCGTTTGGTGGGTCGGTTGTACAGACCAGTGTAGCTCTGTGTCTTGACTAGTCCTCGCTACTGAAACTAATCTTAGATCTCCTCTCACTAGAGACCTTAAGGCACTAGTTTGTACATAATCCGTCAGATTTCATTTCTTGCGTGTACCGTAGAACAGACAAACTGATGAAGTGTAGATGAGAAACCTTTTTGGTTCAACTCTATGGCATACGCTAATGACGAAACTGGTAGGGGAAGCTGGGTCCCGTCTAGAGACTGACCTACTTCATACGGAGATAGCGTGGTGGAATTGTGTTGGGCCGGAGATAAGCACACCTGGAGTGCCATGTGGAAACGCCTAACTCATTTCATTCGTGGTATTAGCATGACGCGCTGATGGGTCTATACGGCACCGGATTTTTAGAAAACCTACCTAGGTTTGGCACAAACTACCTTTGGTCAGAATGTTATCGCGGAATATGGATACTGAATTGTTCCGCGCAACTGTGCATCCAAGCCACTGTTGGTTGGTGAGTTCTCTTTCTGTTCTGGCGTGATTATTCTGGGTTGGAGCATCTGTACCCGCCATATCTTTCCGACCTAAAGTTGTCACCTTAACGTGGACTTTAGTTCTGCAATTTCCCGTGGGATACACACTGGGTGGAACTTCGTTCCACAAGGTGCAACCATGCCAGGAAGGCTAAAGGGGAGGAAGCAGACCAAGAGCAGCGAGACCTCGTACTACGACTATGAGGCGGTCTAAGGGTAACGTACTCTCCTTTGCGATAGGAGTGTGAAGGCAGCCAGGTGCTTCCCCCAGGCAACTTGCGTGTACCGTAGAACAGACAAACTGATGAAGTGTAGATGAGAAACCTTTTTGGTTCAACTCTATGGCATACGCTAATGACGAAACTGGTAGGGGAAGCTGGGTCCCGTCTAGAGACTGACCTACTTCATACGGAGATAGCGTGGTGGAATTGTGTTGGGCCGGAGATAAGCACACCTGGAGTGCCATGTGGAAACGCCTAACTCATTTCATTCGTGGTATTAGCATGACGCGCTGATGGGTCTATACGGCACCGGATTTTTAGAAAACCTACCTAGGTTTGGCACAAACTACCTTTGGTCAGAATGTTATCGCGGAATATGGATACTGAATTGTTCCGCGCAACTGTGCATCCAAGCCACTGTTGGTTGGTGAGTTCTCTTTCTGTTCTGGCGTGATTATTCTGGGTTGGAGCATCTGTACCCGCCATATCTTTCCGACCTAAAGTTGTCACCTTAACGTGGACTTTAGTTCTGCAATTTCCCGTGGGATACACACTGGGTGGAACTTCGTTCCACAAGGTGCAACCATGCCAGGAAGGCTAAAGGGGAGGAAGCAGACCAAGAGCAGCGAGACCTCGTACTACGACTAATCGTGCTATGAGGCGGTCTAAGGGTAAAGTACTCTCCTTTGCGGTAGGAGTGTGAAGGCAGCCAGGTGCTTCCCCCAGGCAACCAGCATGTCCACATTCATGGAAGGAGCGATGCCGCCTTCCCCCAATGAACGATGGGTTTGGAAAGGTTGACTCTAAAAACTGCACACTCCGATTGCCCACCCACTAATTGTGACCACCGGCGCATTATTGAATTAGGTCGAAATACTTTCAAAACCAGAGTCCGGTGTTGCTGTGCACAGCCGTATACGGAATAAGACAGTAAAGTCCTTATTCCCTGCGACCTTAGATTAGGACAACCCCCGGCAGGCCGTGCATGTCAGATTATTGAACTATCGACTCCGGGAGCTGCTTGCAAACGAAAGCCTACCTCATCTTTGCTTTGTGGGTCAGACTTTTGAGCCAGAGCCTGGGGGGCAGTGTCCCAGAACAAAGCCCTGCATCCTCCCACTGCCTTGTGGGTCAGGCTCTTGAGTCAAAGGCTCAAGGTGTGGGTCCTCAAACGAAACTCTCCTCCTCGACCTGCCCGCACAGTTCTGTGTCCACCTTCTAGATCCACGAGACCCTTTTTATATAGGAGCTTTTAACGTTCGTACTCTATGTTAAATTGGCAAACAGGCAATGCTTGCTGAAACCTTATGCTCCTTTAAAATTGATGTGTGTTATGTCTCCGAAACACGTATACAAGACCCAAGCGTGGTTATGCATCTCAGAACGCCAGGGCTGAACTCAGCCCGATGAACTCACATTTCCCCTCCGTACGTCCGGTGACCCAAAAGCGATGAATCCTGGAATATATGACCTGGGAGTTGCACTTAGCCCCAGATTTGAACGCGCTTTGTTGGATCTGATCCCAGTGAACAGTCGTCTTTGCGCCATCCGGTTATCCAGTTCAATCAACCTCAATGCCTCTCGACATAAAAAGCGGTATCTGTTTGTAGTGTCGGCTTACGCACCGACGAGCTGAGGCGGAGAAAGATACTTACTATCGAGAGCTATCTGGGCTCATTCGTCAGGCAAAAGCGCTGACATTGTGATTCCTGCAGGCGATTAGAATCCCCAAGTAAGTAGTCTGAATTCCTTAGAATCACATTTGGTTGGTCTATTTAGAGTCGATGCTTGCCGCACAGACAACGGAGATTGACGCCTTCAGTCATGTGCTGATCAGTTACTGTTTTTGGTAAGTACGATCTTTCAACATCAGCGTTCGTACCGAGTGACCAGGCGGCCGGCAACTACAAATCAACTGTGGACCCTGTTATTACGAAAGTGACGTTAGCGCTGACGACCTCCTACACATCCCCGTTTTTATACATTCCAATGCCCGTGCACTGTTGTTTATAGACCAGGTAATCTGAAGGCTTCAAGCGGTCAGTTTTTCGGAACAAACTTGTTGACCACTATGCGCTGACCATCGGTGAATTAAGATAAACCAGTCCGAAATTTGCTGTAATTCAATGAACAATCGGTTTTCTTATACATTTTGTTATCCATGAGGCTCCGATAGTATGGTGGATAAATTGCAGCAACCGAAAGATCTTCACATTCATCTGTATTTCAACTACTGATAAATAACCTTTGAAGATTTGTGCATTCCTTACTTGAGAAATCCAGTGTTACCTTTTTGCAACCCGGTCGTTACCTCCGAGCGATTCCAAAGGACTGTGGTTTGTGATAGCCTTTTACTACTTTTCTTTGCAGATGGTTTACCTCGAAGGAGATTGTACCAGTGTAAACTTTATTTTACTTTCATTTCCTCGTCCTCTCAGCTGCTTAAAGCATATCCAAATCTTATTTGTGCTGTCTAGACTTTATTCCGTATGGAATAGAGCATTCGTTGCTCTCCAGTGGCGTATACCTGTTATTTTATGTAAAGTTCAGAATATCCTGATGGAAAGTCAAGCTCAAGGAAATTTCAGTTAGACAGTTAGATCAGAACGGATATAGGAACGTCATAGTTTGAAGTGAGGGTTATTTCAATAGAAAAAAACATTCAGCTGTAACACCCGTCCGGTGCCTAGCTGCCATGTCACCCGAAGGAAGCACGAGGGCCGGGATATTGTGAGGTTACCAATGCCTAGACAGGGGAAGTCGAGAGGCAGACGTCGGGTTCGAACCACGGACCTTCCTGTCCGTAAATTTGTGCTCTAACCACTTCAGTCATCTCACCCAAGTCACAAACGAACTTTCATGAAGCTCCTCCACTTAGCACTTCACATTAAAATATATGATACTCTTCAAAACCTATATAAGTGCCACCAAAAAGGAGAGAAGCACCTACCCAACATGGCACGGATGCTCGATTGATTGTGAAGCGTTTGTCACGTCCGCCGAATGGGTCAGTAGCCACCTGATCAACACCCACTGGTGTCCTCATTCAAGCTGGTCAAACGGACACATTTTGTAGCCAGTCTGATTTACGTCTATGCACTACTGTTAAACTCTTGTTGAGGATAAACATCATAGCACAGACTGGAGATAATATACTCTTGTCGTTAGCGGGACACTTATCATCTATCCTGCGGACTGTCAGTCTGTGGATATGATCCGATTGATCTCCTCTGAGTAACTGTTTTGGACTGGATTTACCTCGAACTGCTTGTGGTGAGCTAGCCTCGGATCTGTTCACTTCTCTTGCGGTAGTAAAGCTCCAATGCTGAGCATGCGTTACGGTTATACCGCGGTTGTTGACACGATAGGTCCTACGAAGGTCTTCCAGGTGTTTTGTTTTAGAAGCCCAACGGAGCACTGTAGTTTGCATATTGACAGAACGGTGTTTAAGCCTGATAGAAATCATACAACCTAAAGCTTGAAATTGCGTTTCCAAATTCAGCAACAGCGCATTCGCTGCCTGCGTCACGTTGCTAGAAATCTAGTCGGTATTTCTTCCGATTACAGCATCGCGTGCTCAGCAAGCCGAGTGCTTGTGGACGATTTTGGTTCCGCACCAAGAATGTCAGAGACCATGTCTTTGTCCGGACAGTTGGATGCTTTTCGACCGTACCTGGCGTTTTGGATGCGAAATCTGAAGCCCCATGGAATCTTTTGGGTAGGAATTTCAGGTCCTGTTTTGTTACCGTTCCATTCATTTCAATGCGAAGCCTGTTTCAGGATTATTGATCTGTTTAAGGTTCAGTTCGCCTGGTAACAAGAGGAAAAACAAACACCATTTGAGTCGCTGTAGGCTGACGTTTAGAATTTTGCGCGCATGGTTCTTCTAAGCTATTCGAAATCACCTGAGAGTGAATTGATCACTCTGCAGAATGCAAAGGCTGAGAGACAAGGAATCTTCGTCTACGAATCAAGGATCATCACTTCATGTGCAACTCCTACAAAGCCCAGCTGATAATTCCACGCAATTTGAGTTTAACCACCAAATCGTCGTAGCCGAATAGTCCAGTCGGAATTTAGGCCATATACGGGACGGACCTGCACTGAAACACTGTGCAGAGAACTCAGCTTACTTTCGACTGGTTTTGAGCATTTGTTGGGATTAGACTTAGGGCACACCTCAGTAAACACAGAGGTCGAGCGTCGAGCAGAAATCTGGCGTATCTGCGTTGCAGTCAAAGCCACCTCAACAAACGAAAAAAGTTCACAATGAAGCAATAAAGGACGCACATAAGCGGTTCCAACCTAACCAATAGCTGTCTACGCGCACTTATCGATCAGCAGGCACGATAATTGATCCAAAATGGCGTTGAACTTGGCCCGTACTCATTTACTCGCATGGCTTGTTGAAAACATTGTCTGCGACATTCCAAAGTCATTGAGAAATCACTTTCATATGCATGAGGAATAGCAGGACACACTATTATAACTTTTAGCCTTCGTCCTTCTCAAGACTCGTCAGAAAAACATAGTCGCTGAGTTTCCATCAGTCCTATTTTCTTTTTGAAGACTGGCTAGACGAACGTGGATTGAAGCACTCTGATGAAAATCAGGATTGGCCTAGGGGGCACTGTTTTATCGTATTCTCCAATCGAATATACCGATTTTGCCACCATGTCGTTCGACACCCTAAGCTCGTTTCCAGAGAAATAGAAATGCTCATTTCGATGTTTTTTCTACCTGATTGCTTTCCTCTCCCTTTTCTTTGTCGTAGCCACGTGTTCCACCTACGATCCAAAGCTAGTCGAGGACCCACAATTATGTCAAAAGTTATGGGACGCTTTGCAGATCGCGAATCCCGAGTTACGGGTGAGTTCGTTTGTGTCCTCGCGGCCCGTTATGGTGATTGGACAAATACAAACGCTGTTCGAGCTAGCGAACGAATAATTTTCAAGTTCGTGAACGCCTAGGCAGAGGTTAGCCACTACGATAGATGGTGGTCCACCAAAGAGCGGCACTCAACTAAAAGGTTTGTTTACACGTGAACGCCTAGGCAGAGGTTTGCTACTGCGATAAGTGGTGGTCCACCAAAGAGCGGCACTCAACTTTTTGCGTTTACCTGCAGTGTGGCTCCATTTCGTTCAGCTGCAACATTTTCGGTGCTTAGCTGCCATGCCATCGGAATTAAGCACGGGGGCTGGGACAATGCCAGGTCGCTCAAGCCTAGACAGGAGAAGTCGGGTTCGAACCACGGGCCTCCTGATCAATGAGTTCGCGCTCCAACCACTGAGCCATCTAACTGGCTCCATCATACTCTGACTATCGGTCACTTTCAGCTGATTGGTGTAGCGTTCGAGTACTAGTACGTAGGTCGCGGTTTAAGTCCTTTCCAAGATCGGCAGGATGCCCACCGATCACGAGTATCAAAAAAGGTGAAACAGCTTTACAATACATCTGGGTCCGCAGCTCAGATTGACGTTAGTTGTCGGATGCAACCTCTTGGGTATGCATAAGCGCCGAAACTGTCCTTCAAACCACCAAGGAACACCTTATGGCAGCACTATCAAGAAGGAGTTGCACTTCATCATGAGGGAAATTGATCATTCCTAGCTGTTTCATTCACACTATTTCGAGGAAATAGCGAGTCTGTGCTCAAACTGGTAATGACCAAAACAGTTGAAGACTTCTGAGTTGCTCCCGAATGCTGTTCGGAATGCTGTAGCGCCACTGCGTTTCTCAATTTTTTTAGCTCAAACAAAATCCCAATGCACCGGTTGTCAGTCTTCTGCTACCACCGCCAAACGTGACCGGATCCCTTCATATTGGACACGCTCTGACCTGCGCCGTTCAGGATGCATTGGCCCGATTGTAAGTTCATATGGAAGTCTTCGTTATACGTTCCTTATGCCGACCCTGCCCCGGATATTAGATTACCTCAGCCTGTTGCTCCAGTTCTCTTGCATGCCGATCTTCAGGGGAACCGTAGCGATAACCAGAATTATGACAATAATGAATAATATTCGTCCAAATGTAACGCCTTTTCGTTCGATTTCAGAGTTGCCCAAGCCTAGACAGGAGCAGTCTGGATGTCGTAGTAGGGTTCCAGCCACAGGTCTCCTGGTCAGTAAGTTCGCCTACACACTAACTCATCAAGAGGTCAATAGAAGTCGTTAGTGATTCGATGTAATACATTGCTCATAAAATGTTGCTGAAAATTCTTTGACAGCCCACGACAGGTTTCGCACTTCTCGGGGCCCATCAGGTAGGCGCATTCCCCGAGTTTCTGTCAACCTTATGTTCTACTTGCAACCAGATTGCACGAAAGTAGCGAAATACACTCAGTTGCAAGCAAGTTTGTTTTGCGAGAGACTTTCCTGTCATTAATGATGTTTCTAGGCAAATGGATGTGCCGCTAAATTCGTCCAATTTGGTTTCAAGTAGAACTTAAGGTTGGCGGAAACTCAAGGAGTGTGCCCATTTGATGAGCCCCAAGAAAGGCGAAACCGGCCGTGAGATGTCCGCGAATTTTCGGGAACCTTATGAGTAATGTATTCAGTCTGTACATGTGTCGTGGTATATCGAATAGCGTACCAGCTGAAACATGAGGTTGCCTGGTGCAGCACATTCGGTTGCTCAAGAATATCATAAACGAGAGATTCAGCTGGGTTCCAGGTGAGTTTCTCGAAAGAACCAAATTGGTTTGCAAATGAGTCTATTTCGCTTGTTGGTGCATGTTGAGAAAACGGATTGAAGAAAATTTGAAGTTCCCATTAAGTTCTATGGCTTCAAATAAAGTTTGTCTATATGGAAAATCTGAGACTCAGTTTCTTATCTATTGGAAATTATTCTGGAACCTTCAACTGTCGGTCATTAGTTCGACTCAGTGCCTTTCGGCAACTTGTTCTTAGTAGCGAGATCCCTCGCGTTTGGATGGGATGTAGGCGAGGTACACTCATATGCAAATTACTTTGGCGTTAACGAGAGTACTGATCTGAATCAATCATCTATGATATTCTTCCAGAAAATAAACTGCGATATCTCAAATATTGTGCCAACTGAAGCATGAGATAGCCTGGTGCAGCACATTCAGTTGAAGAGCACTACTAAACGATAGGTTTTGCTGGGATTCAGGTGAGTCTCCCGTTAGAATCAAATTGGTGTGCATATGGGTGTATTACACGAGTTCTGTATGACTTGGGCTCAGGTAAAACGTAAGGTTGACGGAAACCTTGTGACTTTACTCAGCCGGTGCGTCTCAGAAAAGGCAAAACCGGTCGTTCGCTGTCGAGCGTTTTCAGCAACCTTACGAGTAGTATGCTGTGTGTCTAAATAGGAGATAGTCTTGTGACTTTCAAATAACTTTTTTACTAGATCCTTGTCAGCTGGGCGGTTGGTTTGCTGTTTGGCGTTCTTTATTTCCTGATATGTGATGTCGAATTCACATGAATGCGCTCAATTAGGTGTGCTTATTTCCATACGGCACCAAAATTAAGGATCTCTTGGATGTAAAAAAGCTAGGTGTGCTGAGACCCTAATTTCATCGTTTCAAACCTTGTTCGGTTTCCAGTAGCAACTGAAAATAAGGGTGGTTTCTCAGTGCTTGTTTTGAGTAATATCTGTTCCCCCTGAACTATTTATACAGTTTGGAAAGCATTTTACTGGATAAATGGTATTTGTTTTCACTTGGAGGTTATGCCGGATAAGAACACATCCATCTCGGTTCTATTTAGTTCCGCTAATATCTGGAACGATTCAATTCAGTGTACTACTGGTTGACTTTAGCTTGTACTGCTATATATACTTTCGTGGTCTTGGTAGCAGGGTTGGGAATCTGCTCTATCGGCTGCCTTAATCTTCGTGGTTTTTCCCTAATTTTTTTCTCCAGTCATCGTATGCAAGGTTCAGCAGTAGTTTGGGTACCTGGGANGGATGGATCAGCCGGTATTGCAACTCAGACAGTGATCGAGCGAGACCTACGGAATCGTGCTTCATGCTCCTCTGGGAACATGAATAACCCGAGGCTAGAACTCGGTCGTGACGCGTTTGTGCGTGAAGCGTGGTTGTGGAAGGAACGGTAAGTTGTTCATCGGACCATGTCATCCCAGTACGGTTTAATTCCTTACTTCAACTTCGAACTTGTAAGGCATTTCTTTCTCTAACTCTAGCCAGGCCTCTAGAATTCGCGAGCAGTTGGACAGTCTTGGTCTCAGCTTGGATTGGAACAGAGAATTCTTCACACTTAGTCCGGTAAGTTGAGCTAGTCTAGCTGGTTGCATCAGTACTTATACGAAGACCAACGTCTACCCTTTCCCATCAGTTTAAGAGTGGGAAATCTGTTGTGGCTTGATGTACGGTAGTGCAACACTGTATCGGTCCCTTGGCATCCTGCTCCGCCCACTATGGTACATCAAAAGGCACGGTGGCTCTACACAGCCATTTATCGAGACAAAGTAAAATTATTGCAACTGTATCTATAGGGTAGTCACAGAGTGTTCCACAAGGTCGTGCCAGAATCTCCGTGAGGGGACGATAAGCGTCGAATCAGAGATGCTCGATCCGGAGTGGCTGGCAATCTGACCAATCAGGGCATGTCTTCATTTGGTCCGTGTCCTGCAGGTGACATCCGTACAAATGATGTGATGTTCGGCTATTGGAGACGGCTGGCCTCCGAACAAAATCTGTGTTCTTGACTGCACCAATCATCGTGTCTAGCCCTATCCTTATGAATGTGCCAGGAAATACCTTGTTTCTCCAAAAACAACATTGTGGTTCCCTGAATTCGTCCCCAACAGATGCACATCATTGATCAATCACTAGGATGTCGAACTCTCCGAAAGGGGTCGGAAAACTTCGGACCCAATTACGCCGTTCGATGTAGGGTACTAGTGTCTTTTCCGCTTTGGTAATCCAGAGTATTCAGAATGTCAAATTCACTTCCGTTGGATACCTCCGCTTCTCATTACATCGGTTTACCAAGTAAACTTTGCTTACTAAGAGGTATCTGTCAGTTTTTAATACAGTAGTTCATGAGTTGTACTATGGAGCACATGGGTAACGCAGGCCGATCTGGTTTTCCTGGACAACACCCGGATCATTTTCTTGTATTATGTGTCCAAGCACACGCGAAAAGCTCACCTGTGAAATTGGTGATCCAATTGAATAATCCAAGTCCTCATAGCATCACGTCGTAAGATCTACCTGTGTAGTGGAAAAGACACGTCAGTGGACACTGCTGAGTTAAGGTAAACCTGACCGGTGAAGCGACGACATTTCCCTTGTTGCTTTTTTTCTGAAGATACCTTCGTACATCAGGTCCACTCGGACTGCGAACAACGGAATTATTAAATAGGTGAATATTAGGTTGCGATCACTCCGGACAGGGCCTCTGCACATCAGAGAGAACCCATTGGTCCGGTCTAAGGGATGGTCCGTGTTGGGTGGGACCGCTGTGGCTTACATCGCCTGACGGTGAAGCTCGGTTACAAAATGGTGGACTTCTATTCGGCTTTCCACCGCCTTTAGGCTACTATGAAACATGTATGAATTGGTAACTCAATCTCTTGACGACTATTTCGTCCATACTCGGACGTGACTTGTTGTATCGAGTGCCACTGTGTACATATCCCCAGAAAAGTCAGTTTTACTACTGCCATCTGTACTTCGCTGATAGGATGCCACAGTATACCAACGCATTGCGTTTATCAGTTCACCTGCAGCTGCGGCGACATACTTGTCGCCGGAACTGACGGAAGCAGCACGCTTAAAGTACTAATTACCACATCCGCTTGCTAAATCGTCTATTGCTGGGCATCTAAGCGACACAGAGATGAACTCAACTCATGCTTTCAGGTCCTAACCAGAGGCAAGCGGACACAGTGACCTTAACACCATATCGATTAATTATTTTAAGCCTGTCACCTGCGCTCATAAATTTTCAAGGTTCACTCGATGACTACCTTAGTTTTATTGACTGGTCACGTTTCTTTAAACTTTTATAAATGTTGTAAGCTGTACTGTATTGTGTATATTTTATCCTATCGTACAAGTTCTTCAGTCGAAAAAGCTGTTCGAAATGTATTCACCCTGCAACCTTGTTGTTCTTACTGCCTTGTTCAAATTAACCAAGGAATCACAGTGTTCCCAAGATATTCCATCGCGCCAAACTTGTCTTCTCATGTGGCTCTTCGTAGCGCCTAGGGACATCCGTCATTCTCGATGCCATTGAGTGGTACCGTAATGTATACTGTTGTATTCTGTTTCCAAGAGTACCAATCAGAATTTATCGAAAATAACTGGGTGAAAGGAGATAGTTCTTCAAGTTGACTGTACATTTACGTTTGTCATCCACACGTGACGAGAATGGCAGGTGTTTCCACTGTCGCCCAGGACAGATTACTGAGAATAGTCGTCTGGCGCGTTAGTTTTAGTTATCAACAACAGTACAACTTAACTAAGTCAGGTAATCACATCACAATATATTTAGAGAGTATTTGAGTCTAGCAGCTTCAAATTTCATTAAATCTTGGTTCGAATAGCTGAATCTGCAGTTGTTAAGAGTATGCAGTTTAGCAAATTAGTCGTTTGGACCGGCCAGTATCATCCTCGTTCACATGGCATATTTTCAAGGTCTGCGAGTTGACTGTCCCTCACTTGGTTTTCGGCCCCAATTCCTCCCTGGCGCAATTAGTACTTATTCTGCCTTACCTGATCCACCTTAAACCATAACTAAATTTTTATTGTATCTAAATTCCTGAAGTAAAATAGATAGCATGAAAGATTTGTTGCCTGAATGCCAAGAGGTAATCTGCCGAGTTCAAAGTATAAACTTGGGATTACCCAGAACCATGTTAGAAGATGATTCTTGAACCTCCACTTTTCATACCGGAATTGGCANCATTTATGCAAAATAGTAAAAACGTCGTGACGGGTGCGTCGTCTATGGAAGCTCTTCCACGTCGAGATTTGGTCTTGCTCACATTTTATCGACTTTCTGTTCTTATGGAGCCCCTATGTGTTTCTACTCGGTTAGGATGCGAAAGTACACTCCTAGTTTGTTCTTTTATCGATATAGCTCAACACGATGAAGCATAAAGGTGTCAACACATCTGGTGGCCAAAGAATTTTAGTCAACTCGTTTGAACGTGATATTGTTTACTTCAGAAACGTATGTGTCGTATGTGTGTTGTTGCATGGCAACACTAAATATTTCTATATGATCGGTGTTTGTGTCCAGTCTTCCTAAATACCCTGGATTGTCAGGCTTGATACGCCAGTGAATCAGAATTAGAACAGCATTCTTTTCAATGGGACCAGGTGCTCGCCTGTAGCAGGCTTTCGCATCTACCTTGGGGCGGTGCGCGAGAGAACGAATACCATATTTGTCCGTTATGACCGCTTTTGAGGAAGGTTACGGCGCCCACCTCTCGGACACTAGTTGGGCACTTCCCCACGCAGATGTATTTTACGTCGGTAAAGATCCTGCTCCATGTCATCGATCTTGGAATAACCCGCTCAATGTCACTAGCAAGTCTTTCTGGTTTGGTTCGCCATGCCACTTGTAATAGTTCAAGTCCGACCCGGACGTTCTCCTTCTTTCTACGTGACCATATTAACATTAACGCTTTGCCTCTTATTATCAGCGGCATTCACGAGCAGTGACTGAAGCATTTGTTCGCCTTCACGAATCTGGACTAATCTACCGCGCTTCACGCATCGTCTCTTGGTGTTGCTCCCTGCAGTCAGTCATTTCAGATATCGAGGTAAGTTTAGTCCAGTCCCATCAGGCTGATTTTTGAGATGACACTGTCACTTTCAGCTGAGAGTGTGTTTAACCAAAGAAGTTCCTCGTAGATTAGACGACCGGCAGTAAGATCTCCAAAGGAAGAAACCTGATTATCCATTTCAGCAGAAACACTTACTTTGCGCTCTCTGTCTGCCTGCCTGTCTACGCATCCATCTGTCTGTCTGTCTGTCTGTCTGTCTATCTATCCGTTCGCCTGTCTCTCTACGGAGAGACCAAGTTTTATGCAAGCAACCGCCGATCTCGCTTCAGGAAGATGCCTAAGATACCCTCAAAGTTTCAAAAATTTTCTTATCTTTATGTGTGTGTACTGAGTTCCAAGACGGGGGCTAGCAGCCAGCGCTACGGTGCCCATGTGGGGATCGAACCCGGGCCGTCCACGATCTTATCTATTCGGCCATCTGAGCTATTTAGGGAAGTAGCGGTACTCTCCAGCGTGAATTAAATGTCTCCGCAAATATCGGAAACCATTATCTAAACTTGCATCTGCTAAGACCTTTTCTCCAGCGTTGGCGCTGGAGAAGTGCGAATGCCCGCCATTCTGACCTCCGGCACTGAATCGATCGCAGTTTCGTCTACCGCATTTGCGAGCCCATGTTCTAAGCTTGCTGGTCACGCAAAAAACTAGCTTTTAGGTGAGTGCCTAATCACATGGCTGAAAACCTCGGTGTGGACCAATCATAGTGTGAGATCCACTGAATTTTAGATCCTTTCATCCATAATCACTTGTCTTTGTAGGCAACAATGTGTTTTCATTTCGAATGCTGCCAGAGGGTTGACATTCTGTGCTCTTCACCAGTTTCTGGGTGAACATTTCTGCTAATTGATTCTTTACAGGTCGATTGTCTAGAACTACGTTGTGCCACCTTACTTACAGTGCCAGGTTACGAAAAGCAGCAGCAATTCGGGATCATGGATTATTTCGCCTATCCGTTGGCCGAACCCATGCCGAATTCGCCGAAGTAAGTAGTATGTGAAACGCAGCACTGTTTTGCCCGTCAATCAATATCAGCTATAGCACCCTTTCGGTGCCTAGCTGCAAAGGAGGGAAGCACGAGAGCTGGGATACTGCCAGGTTGCCCAAACGTAGACAGGGGAAGTCGAGAGGCAGATTTCAGGTTCGAAGCATGGACCTTCCAGTCAGTAAGTTCTTGCTCTAACCACTTGAGCCATCTCGCCCCGGTGGAAGAAACGCCTGTCTAATAGACTAGCTATTCGGTAAGGAATCCTTTCAGAACTCCCATTGCAAAAGGTCGCGGGTTGGTTAAAAATACCTTGTGCGAGATAGTCTGTCGCACCCAGACGTCTCAGCGTTGACAGGATGCCCTACAGTTCGTTGCTTTTGCAGTTCGACTGAACGTTCACCTCTGGGACCGTTTTGTCACATGGCTGTCAAATACTACTCGTGGGAACCACGAGCGCTGACCTATTTGCTAGTTTACCCGATTCCACTAAAACAATCGAAGAGCCGAGATCGATTTCGGATCACAGACCTTATGGTCATCAGATTCACACTTTACTTGCAGAAACAACATGATCCCGGGTAATTCAACGATATGTTGGCCGTAAAAATAGTACGAAGTTCTCGGTGTTGTCATGTTCCGGCGAACCTGACTGCAAAATGAATGCCTGGATTGCGCCTTATTTTACCCGATATTAAAGCACCCTGCTCGGGTTAGGTGAACGCGAGTTTCAGAAGGGATGAGCAACCAAGATCAAAGCACTCAATGGCGGGTTGGATAGTCGGCGTACACTGACACGCGTGATTGGTCGGCATGTTGCGTGCTCTCTCTCTCTCTCTCTCTGATACGATTAATGCGTGTGACATGTCAAGTGTAGACATAAGACTGATTGTCTGTTTTCTATGCAACATCAAGCGTTGGATCGACACATTCCCCAGCAGGATTCATCGGTCTCTTTCTATGGTCTGTAGCAATTTTCCTTTAGGTTTACTGAATGCCACTCAGTTCTAACATGTGATGCTGCGAAATTTGAAATTATGCTCGAACTTTTAACCGATTTTCCAATGAACAACCGCTGACCATAGTTCATTGGTCCGTTAGTTGACCCACACATTTGTGAATCGTAAAACTCGCTTGTGTCCAACTTTGGAGTATGTAGATCAACCATTTTTACCTGTGTTTGGCTACTACCGTATGAATGCTGAAAATGTACCACATAGTGGTGTATAACCCTCCAACTGACTTGACTTCTTTAGCCTGATGAAGAAGCTATTCGGTTTGCCATGCTGTTAAGAGGACACGTCTTCTATCCACAAAGATGACTTCGAGGTAAATTCTCGTGTATCTGGTCGCATTTCGATAATCACACTGATTTGCACGAGAGCCATGTTTTCCAAAACCGCACACGAATGATACTAGAGTAGCGTGACGTCCAGAATTAACCATAGGATCATCTTCTCAATGGTGTCCTTGATTTGGGACAATTCTAGATCACTGTTAGATATTCCCTGACGTTGGAATTTGAGATGTCTTTTATCGATGTGCACACGCCAACAACGTTCGTCACCTTGAAAGCATTCCGACGCTTACATATAGAATTTCAACAGGTTTCTCCCTGTGCAGTATGCGTGCTTCAGAACGAAAAAATCACGGTTCCCCATGTATCTCAGAGTCTTCTTTACACTGTCCTTTCGGATTGTTGCTGTCCATTGGCATTGGTTTTGCACAAACTATCGGCCATTTTCGGTCACTCATCTCTGAGAGAGGCTCATGTATGACTTGATGGCGATAGATAACGGCCATCCGCTTTGGCACCACCCGTTTTGAGTACTGGCCAGCTTTCATTCTTCGACTTCATTTTTGCCAAGCTGCTCTTGCGAATTTATAGGGAACGCGGTCTGAAGCTGCGCTAGTACAGATACAGTTACGAGGTTCTTTTACCATAGACCCAAAACGGCAGTGGAAGATGACCCGCACGCAACCCTTGGTGACCAATCGGTAATCGATATCTTGTCATCGTCACGCTAACGATACCAGTCGAATTGGTGAACATTGTAAACGGTGATCCAAATCAGTGTCCGCCCTCAGACAATATGTATTTGAGATAAAGTTCAAACTTTTCTTTAGTTTTCGGAGTACGCACTTCTCAACTCCTTTTGATAACCAGACGAATAACTGCGGTACTTGGAACGTCATGGACGAATACCTATCCAAATCGCTCTCTGGGACACAGAACGGGGCTCTGGCAATGACGCAAGTCAGACAATACCACCCACCTATGAGAGAAACTTATACATTTCGGTAAACCTAAACCAACGTGAGCGATGCGAACCCCGGTTGGCAAAAGATCTCTTCAGTGCTCCAAGACATCAGATGTTTTGGTGCCCATCTTAGCATTCCGAATCTCTAACCGATAGCTTTTGGAAATGTCGTTCCTCGTTACTGAACCTCTGGTTCCTGGATGCTGGTTGACAACCTTGAAATCAGGTTGACCTTTTCGTGACTGTATATGGACTTAACTGAGGCATTTGATCGGGCACCTAATCATAACTGGCGTGCTCAGCTTTGGCTACTAAACTGGATGACCAAATTTTCCACCAAAGATTATCAGTAGTGCTGAGAGGGTCAATCTTGGGTTCACTGCCCCTTCAAGTCTTCCTGAACAGTCTACCAACAGTGGTCAACATTCACGGTCGTCTTGTGGTCACGGATAATAGCAGGTAAATTACAGAATGCCTTTCTTCACGGTCGATCATATGGTTAGTCACTGGAGAGGATGCCCTCTTGTGTATCGTGACACCGGAAATGGATTTAAAAATGCACTCATTCGGTGCTGGATACTGCGTGAACATTCTTCGTGGACACTGTTTCTACTCCCTCATTGGCTGTCCAGATTAGCCTGATTGTGGTTGGTTCGGCTCCTAATTGGCTTGCGTCGTCCCAGTGCCCCGTTTGTTTATCTGCATTCTCGAATAAAACAAATGAAGCTTGCTTACTAGATAACCCCGGCTCGCGTTAACCTTCGACCGTATACTATGAAACACCGAGATAATTTGGTAGGCAGACTTTGAACTACTGTTTGGACAGCTAGCGGCTAATCGTGTTGCCTTTTAACGCGTTGTGCAGGCTTCGCATGGCTTCTTATCCCTACAGTATGCACCTTTAGCAAGGCTCTTGCTATCGTCTCTGTTTATAGGATAGTTAGATCGATAAATGACAACGTGGCTGATGTAATCCAAGACAGACATCAGGTTTTCCTAGCCAAGTTATTCGCAGTCGCTGGAATCGGAAACGACTGAACACTATGATCAACCAATGATCTTTAATTTACTGTTTTCTTTAGGAATGACTGTAGATTGATGTCAACAGGCTTCCTTGAGAATTCCAGGGTGCCATTACTCTGTCACGTGGGGCTACGCTGAAAATTCACTTATCAGTGAAATGTCGTGTATAAAATTGCATTTACTTATCTCGAGTTGTGAGTCCAGGAAATGTTTTGCTAGTCCACTTCTCGACGCATTTTCCTACGTTCTTCCATGGTAGCTTTACCGGTTTCTCGCCAGTCTTCCTTGAGGTTACGACGCCTGATCCATCCATCCTACGACGTTTCGTGCAGATTTTACCTCCTGACTCTGATTTTTTAACTTTTTGAAACCGCATACAATGCTGAGTGAGCTATGGGTGGACCATTTTCAAGTAGAATCTACTCAGCATTCTTTTGGAACTTACTAACACATCTGTGAATGGTCGATTACCTTTTGGTTAATGAATTTAGGATAGTTGTCCACCGTACTCGCGATTTATTCGATTTTTTGTATGCCCGGACCCACGGCACAGGAGTTCGCTGTGCTTACGCAGAACTTTTCATTGTCATCGTGTGCACCAGCTTGGGGTTATGCCACCACAAGCCGGGTAAGCCAGTCCTTTCCCATTCTGAATTGTTAGAAGTCGAATAACGCCCAAACGTTTCCGCAGCAATGACTTACTGGTCTATTTACATAAAGGAAACTACTCACAAGGTTGCTGAAAACTCTTCGACAGCCCACGACCGGTTTCACCCTTCTTGGGGCTCATCAAGTAGGCGCAGTCCCCGAGTTCCCGTCAACCTTATGTTCTACTTGAACCCAATTTGGACTGTTTTCGAGAAATACACTCAGTTGCAAATCAATTTGGTTTTCACGGTAGACTCAATTGAACCTCTCGTTTATGATATTCTACAACTGAATGTGCTGCACACAGGCCGCCTCATGTTTCAGTTGGCACGATATTCGAGATATCGCAGTATATTTTCATGAAGGAAACTACTCACAAGGTTGCTGAAAACTCTTTGACAACCCACGATCGGTTTTGCCCTTCTTGGAGATCATCAGGTAGGCGCAGTCCCCAACTTTCCGTCAACCTTGTGTTCTATTTGAACCCTAATTAGACTGAATCATGGGGCGGCATGTGTGCAGCACATTCAGTTGTAAAATATCATAAACGCTGATGGCTGAAGGGAACTACTCACAAGGTTGCTGGAATCTCTTCGACAGCCCACGACCGGTTTCGCCTTTCTTGGGGTTCATCAGGTAGGCGCAGTACCCAAGTCTCTCGTGAAAACCAAATTGATTTGCAAATGAGTGTATTTCTCGAATTATCGGTCTGTTTTTAACAGTTTCTGTTTGGCTGCTACTGATGATTGCCAGGTAAAAACGATTTTGTAACATTCATCAACCAAGGTCTTCTTGTCATGTCATGCGAATATGAGATAATCGATCGGGATAGTTGAATTGGTTGACGAATGGCCATAAGAAAAACATCGAGATTGTTATCGGAAACACTACGGGTATACATAGGAGTAATGTTTCGGGAAGGTCACATTGTTTGAGAATTAATCGGTTTAGTCGTCTTCTCCATTGTATCGTCATCGTGTCATGGTGTTCTCCATTCTCCCCAGGGCTGTGAAAGAATGTCGCCCTGAAATTGTGGTCGCTACAACCCGCCTGGAGACGATGCTGGCGGACACTGCCCTTGCTGTTCACCCGGAAGACCCACGGTACAAGCATCTTATTGGTAGGGAAGTTGTACACCCGTTCTGTCCCATCCATCGTCGTCTACCCATCATAGCCGATTCCCAAGTTGTAGATCCTGCAAAAGGCACAGGTGAGTTAAGTGTAAACGCTTGATTCCACCAAATCCAGAATCTACCTGGATCATTCCTCGTGTTCTGGTCTTAAAAACCAACTTTATTAGTTTTTTTCTCTCTCACTAATGTCAGCCGTGTCATCCACACGTTTTTTAAAAGACGGTTTACTTCGTCTCCACATGGGTGTTGTGGATGTTTAATGTTGAGCACTTTTCTCCGTTGATGTTATGCCAACCTTTTATTTAATATTGTTTTTTCCGAAACCCCACGAGAAACAGAATCTTCCCCAATTAGGGTATTCCTTCTATAGAAGATTTTTTTGTTAATATAGAATGCTCCCCCATAAAACGACCAGCTCATAGTAATCGACGAACTCAGCGGTTTATGAGCGGTGGCCTCTATGTAGGCAGCGTGGAGCATAAGGCCCTTCGGTCAGTTGACTGACAGTCAAATGGCCCAGCGACGTTTGCTCGTGCAGTGGGAAGGGGTTGGGGAGGAACATCGGTGGACGCTGAACTGCGCGGGCAAATGATACTTCCCCGTTGCCCAGGCCGAGGAAGGGGGTTTGGTTGAGGTAACCCACCTTGAGCCCTCGACTCAAAAGTCTGACCCACAAGGCAGTGGGAGGACGTAGGGCTTTATTATGGCATTTTTTCTCAGTAATCAACCACTTTATCTTAACTATTATAGTGAACTTCAGTTTAAATCACTCGGAGTTTTGGCCGTCTTTCACACGACTGTATTTATTCGGCTGTCACTGCTCTCTAGGCTTCCAATCGGTCCGCTTCACCAAGCCTCCGTTGACTTGGTTTCACCTAAATGACAACAGGCAAACCGGAAACGTTGAGGTCGAATCAGAACTAACGTCTTAATTTGACTAGTTGAGACATACATCTTGAAGGCTCATCAA